TATATATATATAGTGTGTGTGTGTGTGTATATATATATATATATATATATAATATACTAACGTAGATACCGTGTGTACCGTAGAACTGAAGCTCGAAGACTATATCCAGTTTCCGTAGTTCTCCTTCATCTCGCATTGTGGATTATTTTCAATGACTTCTAGTGAATTCCTATTGCACTTCACTATCGTAAAGTAAGTTGGTATCACATGCCCGTACTCTAAGAGGATGCTCGAGGCCCAGTGAACCACATCATTTACCATTCTGTGCGGATATGCCATCATGCAGCTTGCCACTATAGTTGGACCAACTATTCTACCACCAGTTGTAGCCGAGAAGTCAAGAAAGTGGCAAGAAATGCTACCATATCGAAAACACGCCACTTAAACCTATTATCAAACTGGCGAATAATAGTTGTACTTCTGATACTTCATCGCAGTGGCAAGGAATTCGATTTGAATAGCCCATCTTCTGAGGTGATGCTAGCCGCCCGAGTGCAGACACGCCACGTACCACCACAATCCAAACCGTCACCAAAAGGTATGCAAGCTACAGGCTTTTAGTACGGATGCAAACATACCCACTACTCCCACATTGAATCAGCCTACACCAGTTGTGTTTCAGTACTTCAGAGCGGTGACAAGGCACGATCCTATGAATGGCCCGTTCTCTGTGAAGTTGTTGGCAATCCGAGTACAAACACGCCACTTACAACCATCATCGAACCAGCTACCACCAGAGGCACCAAGGGCTGCGCTCGCATCAGTAAGCCAAAGGTCAAATTGGCGCAAATAGCTCCTAATCGCCCCGCCGCTGATAGCACTCCAAACGCAGTTGATCGGATGTGCGTGGGATATAGCTGTGTACGTGGTGGGTATGTACATACGTGTTTGTTTGGTGTTTAATGGTCCTCGACAGAAAATAAAATTGTCACAGGACTTTGGGTTGTGGATGGGCGTAGAACACCATCGTGAGGAACTGAGCAGGGACTAGGTGTGGAAAAAATTGAATCTGGCTGCACTTGTTTATAGTCCAATAACTTCATCAGATGGATACGGGATTATATTTTATAGGTGCGATGTGTTGCGCATGCTATAACGTATATATCGTATCCCACATTCTCATACAACTAGTTGTATGGCGATATAATGTGCAGCCAGATACGTAAGGTTTAGGGCAATCTTCGGTACTTTTATGGTTTGTGAATAGGACTACTTTAATCGTCATCGTCTCCGAGAAATACTCCCGATAGCAAAAAACCATACCGTTGCTACAATCTTACGAGGTCAAACAAGTATGTGTCGGAGCTTTGTGAGACAGTGTTCACTGTTTGTAACCAACCGCTTGACAGATACACTCTCAATGAAGACATCAACAACGTTCTTAGTACTGTAGGTTATCTTGCCATAGTAGGATATACAGCCATACTGTGCGGTATACAGGTACACCTTGCCTATACAAAGCAATGTGTATACGTGTCTTGGATCACATACCTCCACCGTCGCCACATCCAAGGCGTTCCAACTCAGCACGGAGAATCCATTGAAGAAGCACGATGCGAGGATGGCCGCCGACTGATCTTGTAAGAACGGCAAGGTGCACACACTCACACCCATGATCACAAGAGAAATACACAGCGTACGACTGCGGCTCATACTGTCTAGAAACAAAGCGCTGAAGATATTGCCCGGAAGTTGTGCGAATGCAACTATCATGGTGCTTCTGTATATATCCATCTGCGTAAAAGTGAATTATGCGTTACTTGACTTAGGGATTCTCCGCAGAATGTGACTGGTATAGCCAGATTCTGGAAAGCAATGGAATCGAGATGAGAACTGAGGTCATAGTAGGTATTGTCACACGGGTGTTGTCGGCTAATATGCCGTACAAACCGATCAACGACAGTTTTCATCAATACTAGCAAAGCCGCTCTAAAATTGACATCTACACAGAAAATACCGTGCTCACGAATTGGCCCAAGGGTTTGGATTCTCACTGTGAATAAGGCGCCAGAAATAAAAACACCATTCAACCCCGATGACAGCTACGACGTTAAAAACTTTGACTAAAGTAGCCGCGGATATGTTAAGAGCAGAAGACCGCACACACGGCGCGGTTAGAAGACTGCAACTACCAATACAGTACAACCCTATACATGGTCAATAACCTCACATGCGCAAGTCTGGCCCCGAGAGTACTGCACACAGTGTGTTTACTGACAACCGAAATACCCTACTGAAACAAAGGAAACACGATCATACTATATGAGCGATTAAACTGTCGATGTAAAGTATACTAATCAAAACTTGCACCTGTAAGAGTCTCATGTCACAGCTCTACATCTTATGCCAATACAGAAATGACTAAACAATTAGCTATAGAATCGGCTACTCACATCGTCCAGGTTTTTGAAGTACTGCGGCAGCCATAGTGAAAGCCCATAGAATCCGTATGAGAGTCCCACCCAATTGAGCAGCAAGATGAGACTGATCCGCAATAGCCCTGAGACAGCATCGAACATAGGGACCACCTTCTGCTGCATAGAGATTACGCCTTTGTAGACTTCTCGAGGATTTGTTAACCTAAGAACAAGGTATATATATGTGTAGTGTATGTTTAAACGATGGATGTGATATATGTGTGGTGTATGTTCAAACGATGGATGTGATTTTCATGATATACTGATCTATACTCGAAGTCATAAATGTGTGGAATCGGGAGTATTATTAAACTCACACTAATGTGTGGCTGGTACCATGCAATTGGTCATCCGGAGCTGTTTGTGTCTCAGCGGAAGCATCTGTATACTAATTGTGAGCGTTGGAATCGGCTTAGATGCTGAACGGAAGAGACCGATAACCAAATGCAAAGTTTGTCTCAGATGAGCAATAGAACATACTGAATGCGAATGAACAGACGCTTAAAATTAAGAAAAAACCAAGTTGTGATACGGACCCGTGTATAACCTCCATAGTAGTTGGCGTGCAGCATCTCATAAAAAAACAAACCCAGTGCTCACGGAAAACTCTCCAAACTATCCCCTGCGGTTAGTGTCAAGCAGGCGCACATTTTACTACGTACAACTCTACACCTCACCGATCAAGGATAATAACATGGTGATGACGATATTAAAGCACCAATGCAGGCAGTGACGTAGGTCCTCACCTTTTGAAATTCCACGATCGCTGAGCGCCACCATTTGCAATTACTGTCACTTCCCGGCCCAAATCCAAATCGACAGGCAATTCAGTCTTGTGATTTGTTCTGCAAGAAAAAGGTCGAGGCTCACTTCATACCCGATAAACTCCTGCATGAATTTCAATGTGGGCCGCCAATTGACTTTTGTGAATACGTATTGTACTATACCGTTAGTATGTGAAAAAGCAAAAACTACTTCCTCTCGCATACGAAATATTAACAACATTCAGATACTAGTCAAAGAGATCTCATTGTTAGCTTCTTTGTCTACACTTTGCCAGCCTTCCTTGAATGTGGCCCATGGGGTGTTTGTCATTCGTAGCCGGGACATGAATATTGCTACTGCTGCCCTGTGTGCACACGCTATCCCTGTACCGATTGTCGCATCGAAACACGGTTTGGACTTCAAATGATCTACAATGGTTCAGGACTGACAACATTGAAGACGGAACACAACAAGGCTCATACAAATCAAATAATCTCTGAAAGAACGCCCCCACTCGGCAATACACTACTGCACAACTTCAATCCCACTGATTGATATAAACTGCCCTCGACTCATGATAAACCGATTTACCCCATTTCCGAAAGTTCTCTCGCTCGCTAACATTGACAGTAACAGCTTAAAACATCGAGCTTACATCGTTATATATCGAAATGCATTAAAAATATGTATAGTTACACGCATATATAAATATACATATAAATATATACATATACATACATATATATAGATGTGTGTGTGTGTGTGTCTGTGTCTGTGTGTGCATGTATAATATATATATATATATATATGTGTGTGTGTGTGTGTGTGTGTGT